GTGTATGGATGTACTCATCTGGTATATAGTGTATAGATGTACTCATCTGGTATATAGGTGTATAGATGTATGGATGTACTCATCTGGTATATAGTGTATAGATGTATGTACTCATCTGGTATATAGTGTATAGATGTATAGAATGCACTATTGCCAACATGATTGGTTGGCCGGAAATGATAATGAATAAATTAGGACTGACTGTTTATTGTGTGGTTCCAGATAATTTCCACACCCTACCATGGAGAGTATTTGATAAAAAGGTCCCCATCCCTTTGGAATTTCCACTAAAGTTTCTTCTATACGAATCATTGTAATGTTGTATCTACAGCAGCAGTGTTTAGAATATTCAAAAAAAATATTCAATTTTTTTTCCAGGTTCCGAAATGCTAAAAGAGGCAATAAAAGSCAACACAGAAAACCAAACTAAATTCATGGCTGCACACGACGTTCCCAGTGCAAAGACAGATGAAATCTTTACCAATCTGACAGTATATTATGCAGATAAAAAACAAGAGAAAAAAGAGCAAGCAAAAGACCTGGGTAGAAGTAAACGGCTGAAAGGATACACCAAAAGTAGAATGACAGGTTGTAAAGTTGAGAAATACGAAGATATTTTCATTGACATGAAAGGAGAAAATCCAAAATTACTTCTTACCGGTAAACCCGGGATAGGTAAAACCTTTCTCTGTGAGAAATTCATACGAGATTGGTCTATGAATAGAATATTTCAAAASGAAAACACTCCTAATATTCAGTTCGCCTACCTGTTGAAGTTCCGTCAGCTCAGTTTACAGGGCGACAAARAGATGAATTTACAAGAATTACTGAATTGTTCGCCCCTTCTTGACCACAATTCAGTCATCAACGATTCATTATTTGAACATTTGATTCAAAATCCCTCCAAGGTACTGATCATCTTGGACGGGTTTGATGAATGTTCAGAACAGCACCGTAAACAAATCACTAGCAATTTTGAGAAAAAATATCCAAATGATTCCAAAAAAGAGATGCCAATCCCTGCACTTTGTTCTAAACTGATCAAAGGAATATTTTTTAAAAATTCTGTTGTGCTGGTATCTTCAAGGCCAGGCAAGGCCGAGAAGTTGGGGAAAGTCCAATTTGATCGATACGTAGAAATCTCGGGCTTTTCACCTGAACAAGTCACTGAGTATGTTGACAAATATTTCAGCGAAAAAGAACAAACAAAAAAGGTGGTACGCGAACACATAGAAAAAAATAAGAACCTAATAAGTTTTTGTCATATTCCGCTATTGTCTTTTTTGTTGTGCTGGTGTTTAGAATGGCGAATTAGTCGTTCAGGAATCACAGAAAATCTACCCGCTAAAATAACTGATCTTTATGATGATGTTGCTAAAGTCTTGGTACAAAAACTCCATGCAAATCTCAAATATTCAGAAATGTCAGAATATGCAAAGCAAATAGCTGAAGAAACACTAGATAAACTAGCTAAATTAGCAGCTAATTTACTGAAGGAAAGTAAATATATTTTTGACGAAGAAGACATGAAAAAACTAGACCTTACCGATGACGAAATTGAAAACTTGAAAGTAAGCGGCATTCTTCATTGTGTTCCTGGAATTAGAATTACTCCTTTTGAAACAAAAGCAGAGTTTAGTTTCACTCATTTGACTCTGCAGGAATATCTCTCTGCTTCTTTTTTTGTAAAAAATAACGAAATCCCAGAGGGCATGAGTGAGCAGACGTTGGTGTTCATGTGTGGACGTTTGTCAAAGATAAAAGATGGAGAACAACTAATGAGTAAACTAATCCAACAGATAGCACCAGAGTGTTATCCTGTTGAGTATAATAAAGTGCTAGTGTTACAGTGTCTGTACGAGTATGGAGAGCGAGAACTAACTTCAACGATCATAAATGATCGGTATCAATTTGGGGAAATATGTTTTTGTAGAGCAACTGATGCTGAGGTGGAATACTTAACCTTTGTGTTGGATAGCATTCGTTCACTAAAAGAACAACAACAGTCATCCACATTGAACATCAGTCAGTCGTCTTTAACCTTGTTTGGTGTTGGTGTTGTTTGTCGTTCACTTGTTGGTAATTCGTTCATAACTAAACTGGACCTGTCAGAGTGCAGTTTAGATGATAAATGCGTAGAAAAAATAACTGAATCATTAGAAAACACTGGAATAACCCACCTAGACCCGAAGTATAGTGAAATAACAGACGAAGGAGTGAAAAGTATTTGTAGTGTACTAACACAAACTAAAATAACCCACCTAGACCTAAGTGGGAATTATATTATGGATGAAGGAGCAGAGAGTATTTGTAGTGTACTAACACAAACTAAAATAACCCACCTAGACCTAGGGGATAATAATATTACAGATGAAGGAGTGAAGAGTATTTGTAGTGTACTAACACAAACTAAAATAACCCGCCTAGACCTTTGGAATAATAATATTACAGATGAAGGAGCAGAGAGTATTTGTAGGGTCATCATACGAGATGATTGTCAAGTAGAATACTTAGATTTATCTGACAATAACAGAATAACTGCAGAATGTAAGGAACGTGTAAAACAACTTGTAAAAAAACACAAACCTGGTGTTGAATTCCATATTAGATGAATGAAAAAGAGAATTATACTGAAATATATCTGTAATTATTCGTACAATATTGTATTAGATGATAAAATAAATATTGGAGTTTAATCT